GAGGTGATCAAGGCCTTCGGGGCGCCCGAGAACGCGCAGCGGATGGAGGAGGCTCGGGACAACGCCTGCAACGACATGGGCAAGATGCTGCAGTTCCTGCTGCCCGTGGCCACCCAGATCCAGCAGGACGTGATCAAAGCCTACGGCTTCAGCAACGACGGCGAAGGTGGGTTGTTCCCTGCCGGGCGGGGAGCTCCGGGCCCGCCGCCGGGGCGGCGGGCGGGTGCCTCCTTCTTCCACCCGCTGTCTTGCAGGGGTCCTGAAGTTCGCCCGGTTGATCAAGTCCTACGAGTCGCAGGACCCGGAGATCGCCAGCATGTCAGGCAAGCTAAAGGCCATGTTCTTGCCGCCCATGACGCTGCCGCCGCACGGGGCCGGGACCGGCGGAGTGGCGACCTCCTGAGAGCCCTCCTCCCACGCCGGGTCGCGGTGCTCGGACTGGTGCCCCCCTTCCAAGCTGTAGGTCCAGTCAGCCCCGGGAGTGGAGCTTGAACAAGGCAGATGCTGACCTGGAAGGAGTGGGGGATGATGCTTTGTGCCTGCTTGTGTGTCTGCTTGTGAATAAAAGATGTCTTGAAAACGCCCTTGTTTTGTGAATGAAGGGGAGCTCAGCGGTCCTCCTCAGGCACAGATGCGTTTCCCTAGTGCACGTTTACAGCACTGCCTGATGAAAACTATGCTACTGTTTTGAGGGGCCCAGCGGGTACCAAGTTATGCAAAAAGGTTGTAGTTTATACAAGCCTTAGTGTGAAGCCCTAGGTATTAAAGGGACTTTTTTTAAAAAAAAACACTTCGGAGGTGCTAAGCCCTGTCTCTGAGCAAGCATTTACAAGTGGTTATTCGAAGTGCCATAAATGCTGCTGAGACCCCTGTCCCCAGCAGGGTGGGTGCAGCTAACTCTAGCCTGCGGCCACGTTGTTTTGTGGCAGAGTCTGCGATCAGACGCGTTAGCCCTCATGCGAGAGGTGCAGCAGGGAGCAGCGCAGTGTGGGAGGGCTGGGCATGCCCCATGCGCCTGCAGCCTGCATTAGAACAACATAAACATAAAATGCTAGCTCGCGTCTTGTTGGGACCAGAAAGAGACAAACCTAACAGAGCGGCCTCCAGCGTGATGTTTTGTGTTTCCATGTAAAACCGATTTCCAAGCATTCGTTGATTGGAATGAAGGGAGATCAGTCACTGCTTATAGCCTCCTGCCTCTGTGCCTGTTGCCCTCAGAAGGAGGGTGATTTCTTAGGGGAGGGTGACGGTGGCAGGACAGAGGGTGAGGAAGCCAGGCCTGGGAGAGCAAGGAGCTGCAAGCCAGGCGTGAGAGCTGCGTCCAGTTTCGCCTTCTGTGCCTTTCAGTGACAAACCAGGTGGGAACACTGCCAGCAAGGGCGTGAGCTCGGTGGATAGGAGGCAGGCAGAGCAGTCCCTTCCGCCTCCCTCTACCTCTCTTGGCTTGGCCTTGGCTTTCCCCCACCCCTCTAATTATTCATTAACTGCAGCCCAGGAAGTGCTTTGCAAATGGTGAAAATTAAGCCCTCTGCTTGAAGCCTTCGGTTTGCCTGACCTGGAGCTACCACCGCCTAAGGAGCAGGCGGAGTTCAGGACTTCCTGTGTGGATCAGACACAGGTGAGTTATGGGAGGTGCCGCAGCCCAGGCGCTCCCCGCCATGAGAATCCAGCCCTGGCAGGAGGGTGCGAGTCCGCCCATCCTCTGGCGAGGCCTTTGATCTCACTCCCAAGTCCGTCTTAAGATTCTGTCTCGATAATTCCAACATTGCTTTATTTTCTTTAGTAGGACCCTCTGGTTAAGGGCTGTGGTACTTCCTCCACCGGTTGCTGCCAGTCCCCCATCAGTGGGGGTCTGAGAGTCAAGATTCTGATGCCATCCTGTGGGTGAGTGCTGTGTGTGTAGTCAGGGGAAGAAAACAAGAGTTGGTGGTGAGAAAAATAAAAGTACTGGCACTAGGAATTGAACACAGAAGGGAAAAAACCCTACCTTCGAACAGGAGCTACAGGATAGCCAGAGAACTGGAGTTCAGAGTTTTAGATTGTTACTGCTGTTACCTTTGGTGCTCCTCGCTTTGACAGAGAGCAAGCAGGGTTTGCGATGCCCAATTTGCTGCAGGTGCTCTCCGCTGCAGCACCTCTGAATGGTTCTGTACAGAGAGAGGTCAAGTGGCTGACCTTTTACAACCTGGGTATTTCTTGAGTCACTACAGTCTTTCTAGCCCTTCATGGAACAGCAGGACATAAAATCTTCCCAGTTGCTCCAAACAGGTGCTCTGCTCTGGAGATAGCAGTGGCGTGGGGTAAGGAATCTGGATTCACACTGGCATTGCTCTGTGGTAAGGATCTGGGCAACCGTGGTGGCCCCACATTGACCTGGGGTCCCGTGGCTGGACAGAGAGCATCTGGCTTGGGCAGGTCACAGGAACAGGGTCTGTCTGCCCACCTCTCAAGCCCAGATGGATTTCACTCTGCATTAGCAGCTGAGTTGTGATGCAGTTCTGTGCACAATGGCAAAACCTCCTGCCTAAAATCATCTCAGCAATGAATATTGCAAGTAACAAGTGCAATGCCGGTTCTCAAAAGGGGCTCCAAATGAGATCCCTCAAACGCAAGGGAAGCACAGAACAACAAAGTTGAGGTCTGGGCGGGAGGGTAGACAGTATAATGGAGAAAGCAACGAGTGTGATATAAACAGCATCTCCTTTTGTGAAGGAACATGCTGTTGTGTAAAACTGGAGCTTTGGAGGGACTTAGCAAGCTTGTGGATAAGGCGGGTCTGGCTGATACAGTGTCCTTGGATTTCCAAAAAAATGATTTAGCAAGATTTTCTCATCAAAGTATTTAAATAAAACTAAAGTTATGGCCTAAGAAAGAAGATTAAGTTTTTCTTGGGTAAAGAACTAGTGTAAAATAGAAAATGGAAGGTGGGAATAAACATCTATTTTTTTACAGCAAAGGGAAGTTGTCAGTGGTCAGATGACAGCGGCCTAACCTGAACTATATGCTGTTCAGTAGGTTTCCAAGTGACCTGGATATAGAGCTTGGTGAGGTGAGGAAGTTGGCTGATGGTAGAAAGTTACTCAGGATAATAGGGTGGGAGCTGAATGAATAATTGCATCAGGACCTGATCACAGCGAATGAGTGGGCAGTAGAATAGCAGATTAAATTCCATATAGGCGTATGTAAAACAACATTCATGCAGAAAAAAAATTTCAAAATTTACATACAAAACAATGAACTGTGAACTAATTGTAAGGTCTGTGTAATTAATGCTTGGTTGTGGTGAACAGCAGAAATTATCACTCTCTATATATGTCCGTGACACACCAGCATCCTGAACACTGCAGTTCTGTGCCACCCTTTGCTCTTATTGCCAGAAGAATACACCAAAGTTGGAAACATCTCTGACAGGGTCAGAGATGAATACCTTAATAGGGTTGGAGCCTTCAGCCTGGCAAAGACCTGTATGGGTGTTACAGACCTATATCATGAGCAGCTTGGAGAGGGTGAATAGGAATTGGGAACCAGTCATTAATTTGTCTGTCTTCTACAACAGCCAGTTATTAATAAAATTGAGGCAGGCAGTGGGTTATAAGCAAGCTGAAGGAGGGGGTGTTTCTGTAACTGAGCGGTGGAACTTCTTGCCAAATGATGCTAAATTTGCATGGATTTGGCCGTTGACTCCAAGTAGCTGCAAAGAGAGGCTTTAGGGCAAACAGGGGGGAAAGAAACTCTATATGTAACCTCTTCCTTTGCCAACCATTTTGACCTCTGGATGATCTAGTCCAACCCGCTGCTCACAGCAGGCTGAACCCCAAAGCTGGATCGTGTTGCTCTCAGGGCCTCCATCCAGTGAGTCCTGGACATCTCCAAGCGCAGAGACTCTGAAGCCTCCTGGGCACCTGTGGCAATTGCTGAACCGCCCTTGGGGTGGAGCGTGTGTGTCAGTTTTCCTGATAGCTAATCAGGATTTCCCTCGCTGCAAGTTAGGCCTCTTGTCCTTTTGCTGTGTCCCACAAAGAAGAATCTGGCTCATCATCTCTAAAAACCTCAGTCCCCTTTTCAGTAGTCTCAGACAGCCATTAAATGCCTCCTTAAGCGTATTTTCTCCAGGCTGAACAAACCTAGCTTCCTCCATCTCTGCTGTGCCTCAGGCTCATCACTGCCTTAGTGGCCTTGTGTGGGATTCTGTCCAGTTTCTCAGTGTCTTTTTTTTGCAGCAGCCCATATGTGTGTGTCTTTTAATTAGCTATTTCATTTATCTTCTCTAAATTTGTTCCTGTGCTAGCTGTGGCTTGGCTCCCCACAGGATTTTCAAGATGAGGTTCTACCACCTGTGTTATACTGAAAGCCAAACAACAGCATAAGAGTAATCTCTTTGCTTAAATTTTTGACATGTTAATTATATTAAGAAAGTATTTTAGTGGCTCAATTATAGTCTGCTGTTCCATGCTGCAGCCATCTGGGAGAGCAACCTCAAAGATACGAAACAGTCATGTCTCTGCTGTGATACTTTCCCTCCCTTACCAATAGGAGCTCCTCCCTGGTAGTTTTTAATCAAATGGTCCAGATCGAAGGCACAGAGGCAGCTGGGTGCATCCGGTCCTTTCCTGAGCTGAAAGCAATCAGAAATATGAATTCATCTTGTAAACTATGTGATTTGGGATTTGTATCCACACAAGTGTGGGTTACACTGCACCCTGTGGCATGTCCTGCTGGAGGACAGTGAATTACATGGGTTTAGTGCTAACTCACCCTTTGTATTCTGAGCTGGGCTCTTTTCTACCTTGTTCTTTCCCCATTTCCCTGCATCACACTAATGTTCTCTTCCTCAGACAGATTTTCTTCTCCAGTCAGTTCATAAGGTCTATCGGTGGCTAGGTTTTATTTTTTGTCTGCCATGGTTTCTTATTGACCCTACATAATCTAATATTCTTTTGATATCAGGATTTATCTTTTAGGACTTCTACTCAGAAGTTCTGTCATTTCTCTCCTACCACTAAACAGTATTTCTTTTCCTGTGCCAGTGCTAGACTGGCTCTGATTTAGGTGCAGTCTTTTAGGTGTGACTTCTACAACTTTGTGTAGAAGTTGGTCCCTTGAGCCACAGGTCTCTGCCTTTAAAGTCTCCTTTTCTTTTTTTTTTTTTTTTAATATCAGTTTTAAGTCAGTACAGCTAGATCCCTGCAGCTCACCACATGCCAGCTTATAATGTGTGTGAAACAAGAAGCATTTCAAAGGAAGCTGATGTAGGTGCCTGGGTTGCCTTTCTAGCAATGAAGTTCAGCTTCCCGCTGATCTCTCCTGTACTTCCCATTGTTGTTAGTTTCTGTCTTGGCCACGAGTTTTGTTTTGGTCATTGCTAGCAGCCTGTTCAGTTTTTTTGCAGGATTTCCTAGTCTGGTGGTATGTAGGGAAGTCTGCAGCTGCTGATACCTGAAATGAGCAAGTCTCTTGCTGTTTCTGCTGCCCCTGCCACCACACAGGGTAGCTCAGAAGGCCCTAGGGAAAAGTCAGGCTCCTTTGCCAGCTGGATTGCTGTAGTTGGCCGCTGCTTAGCTCCCGTTGTTTCATGAAACCTGCAGACCTTGACACCAGTGCTCTGGGAAAGGGCAGTCCTGGGCTGTAGCTGGAAATGGCTAGGTAACTGGAAATGGTTAGTTTTCCCTCTTTGTATCTAGTTGTCCAGGTTGACAGCTTTGGCCTCAGTATGCTGTACTGGGATCTTAAAGGGTCTAGGCTAAGCAATCTTGGTGCTGGGTGGGCCCACTGTAGGTCCTAGCTGTTAGTCCTGCTCTCTGCTTGCTTTTCTGGGCAGCTTCCACACCATGTCCCACCTCATCCCTTCCCAGCTATGTCCCTCCTTTCAGTCCTGTCCCCCAGCAAGCTGTTTCAGGGAAGGCAGTGCTGTGCCTAGATGTGCCTGAACCTCAAAATCTGCAGCTCTGGGCTTGCAGAGATTTCCCCTGTGGCTGTACGTAGAGTATTTACCTGCCCAGAGCTGGAGTATGGAGGTTTCCACGAGGTAGTTGAGGGCAGCCTGGCAGAGCCAAGCAGTGTGGCTGGGCAGTCACAACCTGTAGTAGGTTGCTTCATGGCTCGATGGATGCTACAGTGTGCTGCCTGCTTCAGCCTGATAGGTGTGTGGGTGACCCCCACAGCACAGGCTTGGGGGTGGCAAGCACTCTTGTCTCCCACTGGCCTTTTGGGGGAGAAGGGGAATGGAGAATGTGCAAAACTGAATTTTGTGAGTGTGGCTGGCACTTGTTAGAGTCAATCCTGGTGTGAAAATAGACGGGGACCCAAGAATAACAGGGGGGATGGGGAGGAAAGACACAAAAGGAGAAGCAGAAGTGAGCAAAGCAGCTTGGGGCTGGGGAGTTGATGGCTCAGAGCGCTTCCTGTTCCTGGAGCTGTGTGTGCCTGGCTGCGCACAGGCTTGTGCCTGTCTGTGCCCAAGTTGTGTAGGGCTGGAGATCAGGGCACATACCCAGAAACAGGCAGATGGAGAGGGGCCGAATGGACTGATGGTAGACGCCAGGAGAGATACATGGCCAGCTCCCAAGAGGCGCAGAAACAGCTTGGCGTTGGGCACTCCAGCACAGACCGACTTCCCTTTTCTTGCCAGCGCAAACTGATTTTTCCTCTGTGTTTTCTGAGTTGCTTTGGTGGTAGCTGCTTGGCCCCCTCTTCTTTCATCCTCCACGATGGTGAGGTAAGAGAGATCAGGAAAGTAGGTCAAATCAGAGGAGGGGGGATCATCCTGGAAGCTGCATCTCAGTGGAAACCTTTCATAGTCTGGGGGAGGCATCAGGTAGGAAGGGATGCTGCTGCTGGCTGTCACCTGTACGGGTATCTCTAGGGATGCTGACCAGGGACCATTCTTCACTGTACAGGTCTCCACAATAGTGCCTGGCCTTTTTTATTCACTTGGACTTGTTTCTGTCACCTCTGCTAGGTGGTTTCATCGTGACCTGAGTGGGCTGGAAGCTGAAGCCTTACTGAAGGGACGAGGTGTCCATGGGAGCTTTCTGGCCAGACCTAGTCGGAAGAATCAGGGGGATTTTTCTCTTTCAGTCCGGTAAGTAACTCAGTCTCCAACTTCTGTCTTTCCAGGGTTATGTACGCAGAATGCTTAGATACTCACAAGTCCTGTGACATCTTCTTCATCCTGTCCTTATTCCTTTGAGTTCTTTGCAAGCTGTAAAAGGACCTGAGCTTAACAGCATCTTCTAGACCCTCCCTCAAATTGCCCCAGGAGCTTCCCTTTCCAGTCATCTCCTTTCACTGGAATGGTTTGCTCTGGTTCTGTGGCAGGAGGTAACGCAGAACACTTCCTGCCTCTTTTCCAACTGCCTCACTGGACTGCTCTGTACATCATCCCACAGGGTTGGTGATCAGGTAACCCACATCCGCATCCAGAATACTGGAGATTTCTATGACCTGTACGGAGGGGAGAAGTTTGCCACCTTGTCAGAACTGGTGGAGTACTACACGCAGCAACAGGGCTCACTGCAGGACAAAGATGGAACCATCATCGACTTGCGATACCCACTCAACTGTTCCGACCCCACTACAGAGAGGTATGGAGAAAGCAAAGCAGCTAGTGTGTCGTGATTAGACCTCCTCTGTGTTTTATGTGTGCCCAGGGCAAACCCTGCAAAATGTGTCTTCCTGCCTCCCGCAGCCCCCTGTGCTTCTCTGGGGTCAGCATCCCCAGGAATAGCTGGATGTACCTTGACCCATCACAGCAGACCTAACAGGGCTCTATTTATGCTTCTGGTTTCCTGTTGCTTTTGCTATTTATATCCTGTTCCTAAAAGCAAAGGTTGTGGCATTAGTTATGGGTCTGCAGTGGTCCGTAGAATAATATGTTATGTGGAAGCCCTCAGTCTTGCCCCAAACCACCTTGGTTATTCCAGGCCTGGGTGACTCACCTAACAGAGCAGGACCATGTTCCCCTGTTATTCCTGGCCTGCTCAGTTTCCTTCCTGTCCCCACTTTGCATACATCTCTGACACCAAGTTCCTAAATCAAATCAGATGGTTTTGCCCTCGCACTGTGCGTTCAGGCTCTTTGATGCAGCTTGGGGAGCAGTCGCGCTGTGATCTGGGGCAGACAGGTCTTCCTTGTGCACCTGGAAACGGGGAGCAACGACACCCTGGGTGAAGCACTGGGGTACACCCCTGCTTACTCCAGGGTCCGGCTGCAGAGGGCCAGCACCTGCCTGCCCCAGCTGTCCTCTCCACTCAAGGCCGTTGGGTTGTGGCCCTGCAGTTTCCTCCCTTCCTCCCTGCGGTTGGAAACTTCTCCCCCCTTGACAAGCTCTTACGAAAGCTCCTCTGCTGTCTCCCCAAGTGATTTTCCGTCACATGGCTTTTTAAGAGCTGGGCTCTACTGGGGGAAGGGAGGGGGAAACGGGACCCATTAACCCCTTCCTACCTGTAGAGGGGAGGCCCAGAGACCTCTCTGATGAACAGGAGTGATCACCTATTCCCCAGGGGTGCATCTGAGCACTGGCACATGGTGGCTGAACACTCCTCTGGGAGGAGGGTCAAAAATTAATGACTGCTATGCCATGAAAGTCACCAGCTACTTCTTGCAGTGTCTGAGAAGAGGATCAACAGAAGTTACTTGCCAGGAAACAACTGTCTGCCACATCTTGCTGTCAAAATGGTTCCTACATGTTGTGTAGAGGAATGTGTGGGTCTGGCCAGATGGGAGGGTGAATGGATGCCCCAGCTGCTTCTGTGACTGGGGCATGGCTTCCTGAACTCCATTTCAATTCTTGGGAACAGATGCTTCTCACAATGTGAAGTTCACCACAGACACCAGTACCACCCCAGGCCTCCACTGTTAGCTACTCTGTGGGCAGCAAAAGCCTGCCTCCACATCTCTAACCACACTGGCTCGTCTACTGAGCACCAACCTGGCCTTGATGCCAGCATGCACAGCAATGCATGGAGCGTGGCTGGTGCTTGTTGCGGTACCTGCAACAATCAGGAGCAGAGAGGGGCATTTGCAAGTCAGTCTGATGCAACAGCTACCTGCTTTTGAAACGCTGTTCACAGGAGGAAACGGCCAAAACTGGCTGTGTCTCCAGCTGCTGAGACAGCTCTGTGGAAGTGGGACAGAGCTGCAGTGAAAACGGCCTTTGGCTGGCACAGCAGCCATGCTGCCAAGGCCCCTGAACGCAGATCCCAGCACAGGGCTCCAGCTGGAAACAGGGATGTTCCTGGACCAGAAAGGCCTGTTTGAACTAGGTACATCCCTGCTGGAGGAGAAGGGCCCAAATCCACTGCCTGACACCGAGCTGGGAAGGAGGGAAGGGGCCAGGGCAGGAGCACCAGGGCTGTCGTGGCCCTTGGGCTGAGAAGGGTTCACCAGAAAATGGGTACTGGGAGGAGGGGAATGATCCAGAGCATTTCTCCGTGCTCAGCGCACCTCACAGCACTCAACTTTCTATAATTTGGATCTCCAGCTCCAACTTCCAAGGGAGTTTTGTGGAAGCAGGACAGAGCTTGCAGTGGACTTGGCCTTCTGCATCTCTACTTGGCAGTTCAGCAGTGTCCCCTGGGACCTTCTGGTGTGGTCCACAGAGATTGTGGAGCTTGGGACAGGCATGAGGAACTAGGGGATCTGCACAGAGACAACCTGGGTCACATCTGAAGTTTCTGCAGGGCTAAGAGCCCTGGGCTCCAGAGTTGTCCTGTCTCACCTGCGGTAACCCTCACTTACACCTTACGACCCAGCGCGGTGAGATCCAACCAGGCAGGCACATGCACCTGCCCCGAGACCTTTGTAGGTGGGAAGGGGCTTGGCAGCTCTGCTGTCTGCACCAGCTGTGCCATTTGCATCTTGCTTGTGCCCCTCTGCGCCCTGGACTCAGTCCAGCAGCAAAGCAGAGAGCACCTCGGTCAGATGGGGGTGCTCCTCACCTTGTGCTGAGCGGACTTCTTTCCAGCTGCTGGCTGGGTGTTTGCATTAAGGACAGGAAAGTACACATGGATCAACAACAGTGCTAAGTACCAGGAGCAGAATATGGACTCCTAGTGGCTCCTGGTGTTCGCTTCCATGACTGATTGCTGCAGTGTGATGTGCCCAGAGAATGAGAAATATCCTTTGAATGAAGAGGTGACTGAGTTTCAGAAAGACAGGTTGCTGGGATGTTTTTTTCATGGATCTGACCTCAACACACCCATCTGAGTGCTACTAAATGCAGTGGGAGATTTTCTGACTCACTGAAGGTTTATTTTTGTTTCCCTGGTGTTTGAGTTTCCAAAGCACCTTGCAGCAGTAAGGCTACAATCCCAATAATGCTGGGAGGTGCTGAAACCCACAGACTACCCTCCCCTAGCTGGTCTTCAAGCTGGCGAGCACTGCTTATCTGTGCTTGTGTGTGTCACACAACTGGATCAGACTTGGTGATTTCCCATCATGTCCTCTGGTACCAGCATTCTGCTCTCTGGGTCTGTTCTACCTCTACCTCATCCCTTGCTGTTTCCTTTTCTTGCCAGCTCTCTCCTTTCTGTCTCATCTGCTTTTCCCAAGATCCTGCTCCTCCCTTGATTTTCTTCCTTCTCTCTCCCTCCTCTCTGCCTCTCCCTTTCTTTCTTCCTCCCTCAGCCTTCCCCAGTGATGCTGTCCCTTGCTCATCAACTCAAGGACACACACATATCTGCGTCTCCACCTCTCGTGACCGTCTCTTTCTTTTTCCTAGGTGGTACCATGGGCATCTGTCAGGCTCTGCAGCTGAGTCCCTTCTCCAGGCCAAAGCCACTCCTTGGACATTCTTGGTGCGGGAGAGCCTCAGTAAACCTGGGGATTTTGTCTTGTCTGTCCTCACTGACCAGCCTAAACCTGGGTCTGATGCTCCACCAGCTGGGGCAACCAGTGCCTCTGGGGCCCGGCTCAAAGTCACGCACATCAAGATCATGTGTGAGGTGAGTAGTTGGAAGAGCAAAAGGGACTGGAAGAGGTCTCTGCTAATCTCTGCTGATCATGTCCTCAAAAACATGGGCCCTGTCAGCTTGATTACCACCAGCAGTGTTTCTGAATTTCGATCAAAGTACAGGTTCCTTAAGTCCTCACCTCAGCCTGGATAACCACAGGCAGTGGTGGGTGCTCAGATGCTGGAGGAAGCAGAGCTCGTTGTGACCTGGAACTCTAGGACCAGTTGGTCTTTTTCAACTTTGATGATTCTGTGATTCTGTCCCTCACTACAAAAAGGCCACTGAATGACTTGAGTGTGTCCAGAGAAGGGCAGTGGAGCTGGTGCAGGGTCTGGAGCACAGGTCTGATGGGGAGCGGCTGAGGGAACTGGGGGGGTTTAGTCTGGAGAAGAGGAGGCTGAGGGGAGACCTCATGGCCCTCTACAGCTCCCTGAAAGGAGGGTGCAGAGAGGGGGGATGAGGAACCAAGGAACAAGCAACAGGACAAGTGGTAATGTCCTCAAGCTGCACCAGGGCAGGGTCAGGCTGGCTCTTAGGAAGTATTTCTTTGCAGAAGGGGTTGTTGGGCGTTGGAATGGGCTGCCCAGGGCAGGGGGGGAGTCCCCATCCCTGGAGGGGTTGACCCAGTGCTGAGGGATCTGGTGGGGTTGGGAACGTGAGGTTCACGGTTGGACTGGATGGTCTTCAAGGTCTTTTCCAACCGAGGTGATTCAGTACAGGGAGTTTGTGGTGAAACAGAGAGAAGGATTCACAATCTAACTATGAGTTCATCAAAAGAGTTAAAAGCTGTTGGAGGAGGAGGGGCATCTGCAAGACCTCCACACTTAGTCTGAAGGATGCTACCAACCTGGTTATCACTAGTTCTATTTCTTTCATGTGGGACGATGCAAAGTGGAGGGAAATTGCAAGGACAGAAAGCAACTGACCTTAAATGAGAGCTGAGGACAATATACCTTCTCTGGGCTTCCATCTGCTGAGAACAGGAGTCAGTTCACCATGCTGTGAGCTTAGTGTTCTCAGGGCAAAGTATCATTTTACTTTCCTGACAGAGGAAATTCTCTTCTAGATGGCACAGGGTGGTGCCTATGGCTTTGCACCCCAGTATTACCTTTTCCCTGAGCATTATCAGCTTTGTCTATAGGAATGTCATGAGTGGGACGTTCCACATTCTTCTTCCATTTAGAATGGACGCTACACAGTTGGAGGTGCTGAGGTGTTTGACAGCTTGGCAGATCTGGTGGAGCACTTCAAGAAGATTGGAATTGAGGAGGTGTCTGGCTCCTTTGTGTACCTGAAGCAGGTAAATCCCATTTCCTCTGTTTCTTAGGGATCCTTTGGAGGGAACCCACTTTCTCTTTGTGTCCCTCTCCTCCTTTTCTCCCCAGCACAGAGGAGGCTTTTCTCTCCAGCAGTGTCTCTCTCATGCCAAAGCATTGTGTTTTCCCATCCCCAGCCTTACTATGCTACGAGGGTGAATGCTGCTGACATTGAGAATAGAGTGCAGGAACTGAATAAGAAGAGTCTATCTGAGGAGACATCCAAGGCTGGATTCTGGGAGGAATTTGATGTAAGAAACTGCTGTGGGACATCATTCTGGCTTTTTGGGAAGTCCCTGTGTACCACCTCATTCTCCAACCTTGATTTCTTCCTGGACATGAACTTCTCAGGTGTCATGTAAATTCTTGTCAAGTCATCTCTGAAAGAAGTCTGTTTGGAACCTGTTCCTCTGGGGAGTGAGTGTCATCTTTAAGCAAATCCAGTGAGACAGAAATGTGCTATTTCATGGTTGGGAGAATGAGTCAGCAAGACAGTAAGGGCATGAACCTTGGACTTTTCAATTCTAGGTTTGCTTTTCTTCACTCCTCTGCTCCCTCACAGGCATGCCCGTGTGTTCCCTGAGTCACCACTATTCCTCTGAGTGCCCACCTCCCCTCTCATACATTGTGACTATTCTTTCTTCTGGTCTCAGAGTCTGCAAAAGCAGGAAGCCAAGCAGCTGTTTGACCGTTATGAGGGTCAGAGACCTGAAAACAAGAGCAAGAACCGATACAAGAACATCTTGCCCTGTGAGTCTTGCCTCTCCACTATAAAAAAAAACCCCAAATAGACACAGACAGGCAATGAAGAGCTGTCTGAGTCATCCCTGGCCCTGCCTCGGCCCGCTCTATCCTCCAAAGCAGGTTACAAGGTGTGTGGTGTTGAGGATTTAAGAGCTGATGAGAGAGATCACAGATTTTTCATGTCCTTGAAGGAAGGAGGGAGGGTTTTGTCAGACTCATTAGCTTCTGATGGCCCATCATAGGGTTAGAGAGATGGGAGGATGGGATGAGATCATTCTGACCCCAGAGGAGAGGTAAAAATATGGGGCGTGCTGGGTAGCATGAATGACGTGATGTGGGACAGTGAAGGACCTTCATGTGGCTGGGTGTGAAATCTCATTGCTCTGTTTATTCTTTCACTGCATCCCCAGTTGATCACTCCAGAGTCATCCTGCAAGGAAGGGACCCAAATATACCTGGATCTGACTATATCAATGCCAACTATGTCAAGGTGAGACTCATGAAAGATGGCTGTATGCCCAAAATGGGGGAAGGCCTGCCTGGTCCTCAGCCCTCCTGATCTTCCCCTGTCCACACTCAGAACAACCTAATCAGCCCAGATGAGTGCACCAAGACCTACATTGCCAGCCAGGGTTGCCTGGATGCCACAGTCAATGATTTCTGGCAAATGGTGTGGCAGGAGAACACGCGCGTTATTGTGATGACTACGCGGGAGGTAGAAAAAGGGCGGGTAAGCAGCAGTTTGTAGGTGTCTTGGAGCTGCCCGCTTTTCCCCCCTCAACCACTGCTCTGCTTTTTCTCTCTTTCTGACCTGCCCATCCTCACCCTGCCCTGTCTGCCTGCACAGAACAAATGTGTGCCTTACTGGCCAGAGGTGGGCAGCACGAAGGAATATGGTCCCTACCTTGTGGAGAACGCCGGGGAGCACGATGCACTGGAGTACAAACTCCGGCACCTCTGCATCTGTCCAATGGATAACGTGAGTGGTCAAGGGGCTGTCATCAAGCTATTGGTCTAACAGTCACTGCACCTCTGAGGCTGAGAACCGTGGGGTGCTCTGGGGATGCTGCTGTTGGATCATTCTTGGGCCTGCAATTCCCACCTGGTTTGGGCTGGAATCACACTGGTGGAATCACCAAGAAGTGTGCAGGAGACAGAGATTCTCTCTGGCTTCAGACCCACTTCTCCCTGGGCCAGAGGTCAGGGGATACACCTGAGCTGCGGTTTCACTGAGGGCATGTTTTGTTATTATCAGGGTAAGGCTGCGCGTGAGATCTGGCACTACCAGTACCTGAGCTGGCCTGACCACGGTGTACCCAGCGAGCCGGGAGGAGTGCTCAGCTTCCTTGACCAAATAAACCAGAAGCAAGAGAGCATCCCAGATGCAGGGCCTGTTCTGGTGCATTGCAGGTTGGTACAAAGGGCTGGGCTTTGGAAGCATTCTCCATTCCTCATCTAGGGCGAGGTATAGAAAGTCTGTCCTGCTTCACCAGCTCTTCCCCAGGGCTTGTGAGTGAAACATATGCCAGCCCTGATATTTGCTTTTTCCTCTTCGATGCCCCCAAACCAAACTCTCTGCCTGTTTAATCCTCTTGTGGCAGTGCTGAACAGCTGCTGCAAGTACTGCATCCTTCCCCAGAAGCAGCTGCATTTTGTTTCAGGAGCTGGTATTGCTCTGACTTCTCTTTGTCCTCTCCTTGCAGCGCTGGGATTGGCCGCACTGGCACTATCATTGTCATTGATATGATAGTGGAAACCATCTCCACCAAGGGTAAGATAACCCCAAAGTATCTTGAAGTGAACTGGCCTACCCAGTAGGGCTGTGCCCTTAAGTCCAGCTGCCAATGGATGAGAACTCCCAGATATCGGTGTGTGAGATCCTGGGAGAGGACCCTGGGAGATCCTGGCTAAGTGGTAGCTGCTGGATCTCTGCACCATATCCACTTAGTGGGGCTTCAGCCTTCCCTGAGCTTGGGTTCTTCCTCCAGGGCCAGACTTGAAAGATGCTGAGCAGGAAGGAGGGATAGGAGGTCCCAATGGAAGTGAGGAGTGTGGAGGGGGGTAGAAACTTCTTGACTGGCCTCCACTGTGACTGCTTTTGGTGGAAATTTGGGAGAAGGGGGCAGTAAGCGTGGCCATAAGCTTTTGTGGTGCCCCTTACTAGGGCTGGACTGTGACATTGACATCCAGAAGACCATCCAGATGGTGAGGGCCCAACGCTCGGGGATGGTGCAGACAGAGGCCCAGTACAAGTTCATCTACATGGCCATTTGCCAGTTTATAGAGACAACCAAGAAAAAGCTGGAAGTTATCCAGGTGAGAAAGGTGATTCTGCTTTTCTGTCCTGCAAGTCTAGGCCCTGCATGGCTCTGAGACCAAGCCCTCTGTTTCCCAGGCTTTAGTATAAAACTTAGAAAAGGGACCACTGGGACCTGCCTAGACTAAAATGATGCACTGAGATTTGAGTCCCTGTTCCTCGCTTTAAAATTCAGTGGGCAGTGTTAGCCGTTCAATTATCAACCCCTTGTGCACCTATAAACAGCAGTAAGTTTTAATGCAGTTATTTCAACTATGTTCTATATAACATCTCCACCAAGTGCTGTCTTCTTACAAGCTAAATCTAGGACAGGCAAAGGCATGGCCCTCTCCTTTCCTCTCTGCTTTTCCCATCCTGGTTCTGTGGTTGCAGGATTTTCTCCTGCCAGCTAAAAAGTGGCATCCTTTATGTCTCCTCGTAGCCTCTGGCAGCATCCAGTAGCTGCTGCTCTCTGTTCAGTATTCTTTAGTAGCACTCTCAGGCATTCCAGTGCCTCCAGAAATCTGTTGCCCCACTGTTCACCCCTGTGTAAGGTTGTATTTGCACCCACAGCAGCGGGCAGAGTGCACTGAAGACTTCAGCAATTCTCCAACCTCCACTGAGATCCTGGCATGAGCATTGTCAAACAGCCAGGACTCTTCCATGATGCCTCAGATCACACTCTCCTCAGCTTGGTTTTTCTCTCCTGTAGTCTCAGAAAGGCAAGCCGAATGAGTCTGAGTATGGGAACATTGCCTACCCCCCTGCAGTGAGAAATGTGCATGCCAAGGCTTCGCGAAAATGCTCCAAGTAAGAGCTCACCTAAGGCCAAGGCCCAGCTACGCCTGCCTCTGGCAAGAGTCTTCCCTGATGCCTTGGCTGGCTTTTCCCTCTTGCTCATTTTTTCCCTTGTTTTTCCCTGGTCTCACAGACAGAAAGAGGAGTTGATGGTTTATGAAAACTTGGGGAAAAAGGAGGAGAAGATGCGGAAACAACACTCCTCAGAGAAGAAACTGAAAGGCTCACTAAAGAAAAAATAAGCATACATTGCAGGTAGCCCTGTGGGGGTTTTGAACGTGGGGTACAGGACTGCAGCTCGCGTCCAGGCTGGCCTGTCTTGTGTTCCTTGATCCTGGACTGCAACTAGGCCTTCCCCTTCTCTTCCGTGCCACCTCTCAGTGCCCTGAACCAGACTGCTTTCCAGCTCAGCTGACCATTGTCCCTTGCCTGTGCAGGACAGTGGAGGCTCCTGCTGCCCCTTCATCATCCATTAATGGGAAAAACTCCTGCCCCTTCCTTCCCTTGCTCCCTAGGCACTGGGGCCCAAACTCACCTCTGCTGTGTCAGCTTCAGCAGACTCCTGGAGGAAGAGCTAAGGAAGCTCTTCACAGGAGCTACAGCTCTGCCCACCACTGTGAGTGAGGGTTTAGCCTGGTACAGTGCCCTGAAGCCTCAGCTTTTAAAGTATGGAGGTTTTGGACCATTTCAGCTCAGCTCTTCTGCCATTCAACAGGAAACTTCCTCTTTCCTTAATATCAACCCTCTGCCCTACAATCCCTTTTCTATTTGATCCTTTGATTGGATGCTGTAAATATACCATAATTTGATGGGATGGCCATGTTTCCTCCTTTGTTTGTAAATAAACTTGTATTTGTTTGAATGCTGAGTCCCATAAGCTTTTTTCTATGATTTCTCTTTGAGTATAGCTGCATACTTGGCTTCACTTGCAGCTCTGCAAAGACCTACAAGAATGGCTCTAGCTTAGTTTTCATCACTTCCTGCAGTCTTCAGACTTCTAAACAGAAGCTGTGACCAATTATGGTGGCTCTTTGCTGTGAGGCTTGAGGTAGTCATCAGGTAAGTCTGAGCACAGAGCTGGGACAAACTCAGATACAGGCATTTGAACTTAAATTTTGGTCTTTGGAAAGGTCGTCCTCATGCTCCCAGATCATTAGCCATTTTGTCGTCCTCTGTCTTTGATAGTATCCAACCTGAGCTGGAGGGTAAGTAACAAGGGCTGCTTCAGCAAACAGCATAGTGCCTGACTGCTCCGATGTAGGTATCGCTTGGTAGAAATGAAACTTCATCTTTATGGAGAAGGTAGACCAGAGCACAGCCACATTGTGGCTTCACAGAGATTAGTCCCCTACAAGGAGGGGCTAAGGCAGCTGTGTTGTTTAGTCTGGGAAAGAGGGGGCTGAGAGGTACAATATGATATTCTCATCTACAACTCCACAGAGGGGTGGTAAGAAGATGATGGCAGTGGCAGATAATAAAACCAGAGGCAACAGTCTCAAACTGCAGCTTAGGAGGTTCAGGCTGAACACTAAGACTGGTTTTATCAGACACAATTCAAACTTTCAATACTTAAATGGACAAAGCCACAGCTGATCTGACCTAGTACTGGCAGTAGTGCCATGTACATCAGCAGCCAGGGCTAAAGACCTCCAGAGGTCTCTTCCCACCACTATTTGTACCAGTGTATGAGTGCCAGAGAGCATTCCTTAGTGCTGGAGCCTATCCTGGGTGATGTTAGAATGGAACTCAGCACAGTTTGTTAAGTCTTGCTGGTTAAAACTAGACCCCAGCCTGTGAAACGTACCCAGAAACCATTTGTGAGAATGCTGAGAGAGTTTGAATAAAGCCACAGCTACAGTGTGCAGTCCTGAGCCTTTCTGTGGCAGCTGGCTTAGATCACAGGGAATGAGCAGGGGAATCCTTAATTTACAGGTACAGGTACTGCTTAGGCTGGGGGCATTTGTTACCCAGTGAAAAAGAGGGCTCAGGTGTCCTGGACCAGGAAGAGCCATCTCTAGTGTGTCCAGAGAAGGGCAGTGAGGCTGGTGCAGGGCCTGGAGCACAGGTCTTATGGGAAGCGGCTGAGGGGAGACCTCATGGCCCTCTACAGCTACCTGAAAGGAGGGTGAGTGTCTTGGACCAAGGCACAAGCAATAGGACAAGAGGGAATGGCCTCAAGCTGCGCCAGGGCAGGGTCAGACTGGCTCTTAGGAAGTATTTCTTTGCAGAAGGGGTTGTTGGGCGTTGGAATGGGCTGCCCAGGGCAGGGGGGGAGTCCCCATCCCTGGAGGGGTTGAAGAGTCGGGTTGACCCAGTGCTGAGGGATCTGGTGGAGTTGGGAACTGTCAGTGTGAGGTTAATGGTTGGACTGGATGGTCTTCAAGGTCTTTTCCAACCAAGATGATTCTGTGAAGAGCTCAGTCCCACTTAGGGAAAACAAAGTGACCCAGGATCCAGACCAAGAACACTTGGAAATGGGGGACAGGGAGCCATGTCTGGGCCCCATGGGATATAATGGCACAATCAGTCACCATCAGCTCTATGACACAGGACCCTGCCAAGCATGTTAAAAGGCCAGCTGTAATCATCTCCTGCTTTGGCGTGGGGATCATAGGGCCAGACTCTCCCCTCTCGGTTTAGAGCACGAATCCAGAGGGGTGAAGGGGTAGAAGTGAGAAGGAATGAGGCATATCTTGAACTCTGTTCTATTTAGCTTGTAATCCGGTGGCGATGGCCAATGTGCCTGCAAGGTGATGCACCTGCCTGGGAGCTGTCAAGATGAGGTGGCTACTGGGCTGTAGGTTGTGGCTTTTGCTCAGAGGGCAGCTGAGCACCAGGCAGCTACTCACTTACCCCTTCCCCCTCCCCCCCAGTGCTGCAAAGGAGAAAAATGAATCAAAAGGCTCAGGAGTGGAGAGAAGGGCAGGGAAGGGTGGCTTACCCATTTAATGGTCACAGGCAAAAAGACAGGGGAAGAAAACAAGAACATCCTTTAATTAAAAAGACTAACAAAACCAACACTCAAAAGGCAGAATGGGACAGGGAGAAGCATTACATCTTAAAACACTTCCCCGCTGTCCCTCCCTTCTTCCCGGGCCCAGCTTTGGTGAAGGACAGGGGATGGGGGGGTGCAGTTAGTGCTGCTGCTTCTTCCTCCAAGGAGGGGGCAACACTCTTCTGCATCCCCCCACCCTGCCCCGCAGGGGGTCCCTCCCACACATACACTCCTCCAGAGACTCTGCTGTGGCTCCTCCCCACGGGATGTATCTTCTCGAGATACTCCACCCTGGGTCACCTCCACATGTTGCTCCTCCCAGCACCTAATTGCAATGGTGGGGGCTGCTTCTTCCTGCAGAGTCCTGGGGGTCCCCCACAGATGAATCTCTGCTCCTCTGGTGATCATGGTGGTGGTGGGGTACCTGCCATCTCACCATGGGACACAGGGGGGGTCTCTGCCACAGCACACCTCCCTCCTTCCACTGATCTTGGTGGTTGTAGAGTTGACCTTCCCGTAACTTGTCCGCAAAGTCCCCAGCCCCCTCTCAGGTTTCCCTTCCTAAATACATGATCGCCATCACTAAACTGGCTTGGCCTTGGATCTGGGGGAGCTTCAAGAAGCTTCTCCCAGGGGCCACTGCTGTATCCCTCTCCCCTGCTACCCAAAACCTTATCACATAAGCCCAGCACACTGTGCAAACCAGCTGGGAACAGGTGCCACACCCTTATAGCCCTGCCACAGGCTGTGGGACAGGCCCATGCTTTGCTGAAGGGAGCAGGAACACCACTGGCAAGGCAATAGCAGGATGATTTAGGCGACTCCACCTGAGCTCCCTGCCCTGATCTAGTGTCAAACATGTAAGCAGAGCTAAGGCAAGGCTGGAGAGCGTACAAAAGATAAGACCGATGGTGACATGGTGATGCCATGCTAATGCCAAGAACAGCATTCCCCAAGCCAATGCTGCTCTTAGGAAGTATTTCTTTGCAGAAGGGGTCGTTGGGCGTTGGAATGGGCTGCCCAGGGCAGGGGGGGAGTCCCCATCCCTGGAGGGGTTGAAGAGTCGGGTTGACCCAGCGCTGAGGGATCTGGTGGAGTTGGGAACAGTCAGGGTGAGGTTCATGGTTGGACTGGATGGTCTTCAATGGCTTTTCCAACCAAGATAATTCCATGATTCTGGGTTGACTTGTGAGCAGTGAGGAGTTGGATTTGGTGATCCTCATGGATCTCCTCCAACTCAGGATTCTGTGAAATCCCCATAGGGATTTCAGGCCAGTGAGACAGGGAAGAAGCTCCCCCCTGAAGCAGACAAGGTTTTGCCTCTGAAACCTAAGCACAGAAGAGAGTTTAGTCAGTGGAGGGAGATTTCTCCTAGTTTTGGCCAGGAAAGCAGGGCAGAAAAAACCCCAAGGTCTAACAATGGAGGTCAGGACACAGTAGGGAAACCTACACTCATCTCCAGCACCTACAGGCACCCAAGAAACTGGCTCTAGTCCCCACGCAGCTAGAGAAGCATCCACACCTTCTCCTTCTCTCCCCCACCTATGATCTGTCAGTGAACAGGAGGATATTCCTGTAACTCCTTTCCCCACAGCATCCCAATTCTGTCTTCAAGAAAAGAAAAGCTCTCTTCCACCTCCCCTTATGCAAAATAACCTCTTTTTCAGACACTAAGCACATTAAGACACATTATAAATTTTGGGTGTTTTAATTTTTAGAAATGTTTGAAAGAATCACTGAGCAGACAGTGACACAATTAGATATTCCAGCAGTGACAGGCACCCAATGAATGACATTTTTCTGAATTCAATCCCAGGTTCTCTTGGGATCAAGAGTGAAACAAAATTTACTAGAAAAAAAAGTCTGGTAGTGATGGCAGCAGAACTCCCTTTCTCGGCCAAAACTGAATTCTGATTTTACCCTACAGAAATCTAAAGATTAATGAAGATTAGAGGTGAATTAGTATATCCACATGGGTTAATACCAATAAGCCCCCTTGCCCCCTCCCCAGAATTAATGGGTGGGGTGAGGAAGGAATTACAGCTGCCCAGGGGCAGAGTCCAATCCCAGAACTGGATTGCCACAGAGGAACAGGGGCATGGGAACCCAATCTGGCTACTGGAATAACAACTTCAAAGTGAGGGCAAACAACACTAGTGGAGGGAGTTCAAAGCTCCTCACTCCTATCTTCTCCTGGTCAGCACCGCTGATTCTAGAAGGCTTCAGCTTCTTTCACTTCTTCCCTTGTTTGAGTAGGAGACTGTCACTGAAAGGGAGACAGAAGCGAGTTGTTAGTCCAGAAAGCATAAGCAAAACTGAACCAGACCCTCACAACAGCCTTGGGGGTGTCATACCCAGACTATCTGGATTTCCAAGTCCTTCCTACCAGATACTTTTTTCAAAGCCACCTAAGCCTTCCAGAGAGAGTAAGACAGAATCTGGTCAGAGATAAGGAAGAACGATCTTGCAATCAGAGATCCCACAGAAGAGAAACCAGCTCTGGCTTCCCTTCTTGACTGTAGGAAATCTAAGATTTTAGACTAAGCTCAAACTGGCACTGCCCTTTCCAGTAAACACTGGACAGATTATGCAAAGCCACCAAATTCCTGCCAACTACAAAAGCAGGAAACAGGCTTTTCTAGCATGGACTGGAAAGCTTTTGGAGAGTAACGAAAGCATCTTTCCTAGAGAGCATTACCCCAAACCAAGACAAATCCCTGCAATCATCTAATAGTCTTCTCACAACCCTCTCTGCCATAAACGCCCTGTACACACAGGACAGATTGGAAGAGGCTCCTCAGTTACTCCTGCCCTCCTGTGCCAGGTTCCTTACAGGACATACACAAAGCTCCAATTACTGAGTGTCTCCTACTTGATGTAGATGTTTGTGCAGTCTGTGCAAGGAAGGCTTCGAGCTTCACATCAAAAATAGGAACGGAGATAGACATGGAATAAACTTCCTGTGGCCAGAAAGGCCCAAGCCAGAAACATCCCAGGCACCAGGCAAACATGAACACCCTCCTTCCAAGTACTAAAAAGGATCAAAATAAAAAGTGCCTTACCTTCCTCTGTGTGTCAGGAGATGCAGTAAGGAGTGGGAGGAAGGAAGATAAACAGTAAATTGATTAGATTAACAGAAACCTCAATTTCCACAAGAAGTAAGACTGCTCCCTACTTGGCTGTGTCCTCTGGCATCAGGCTTCTCTCAAAGATCCTGAGAGAGCTCCAGGTCACAGGTAGGGTGCAGATAAATCCAGCCAGCTGGCCCCTTTACCTGGTGAAGCCCTCATCCTGCAGGTTCAGTACCAAGTTGTCTGCTGTGAGATATACACGGTTTTGTGAGCCAGCAATCTGAAAAAGAAATCCATTGCAGAGATAACATAAAGGAGTATAAATGCACGTGGAGGAAGAGCACTACCAAAGAACCTATCTCCTACTCCAGCTACTCTTGTTTTATTAAGATCTCAGTTAAATCAAGGCAATCCCCAAAACAACTCTAACTTCCTGACTTCCCATGCCAGCACCATCAGACTTTCTAGAAGTGCTCATTCTCTCTGTCAGAAAAACCTTTGATCCCACACTTATCTGTTCCCCTTTCTCAGCGTGCAGGAAACCAGGAGCTTTTGGTGGCTGCAGCCGAGTGTGGGTAATGGAGTCTGATGTGGATCTGGCCTCGTCACATGGAGGGCATGAACTCCTAGCCTCCCATCTCACGGCAAGCTAAATCTTAAGCTCTACTTGAGCAGAGAAAAGGGCTGGGCAGGAACAAAGATCAGGACAGGGCAGGTCACCTTCGCCTTAAATTCATCATGTGGCCACTGGGCTGGGAAGACAGCACAAGCATTGCAAAAGGATGAAGAAAATTCTGCGCCCCAGTGCTCACCGTTTTGGAGATGTTTTGAGCAGCTCGGATCTTACGTAGCTTGATGTAGCCTGGATTCCTGCTGAGAGCTTCACCAAGGTACCAGGGAGAAAAAGTTAAGGAAAAACCTGCTAAAAGAAGCTGCCTACCCACAAGGAATTCTTCTTAAGCCACACCATCAGACATCTTAGGGGGGTTAAGAAGCAATCTCTAGCCCAATAGCTTCAGCCTTCAAGCAGACAGATTTTTACTTCCCCCAATCAAGAACATTATGGATTTTGGACACACACAGGCAATAAAATTTAAACCTTAAAACAAGGAGCAAAGGCTTGTGGCCGCCTCTGCTCTGACCTGTAACCTCAGACAAATCTCACTCCAGGCAACAGTGGGGTGAGCGAAAAGAAATAAATGACAGTGACCTACTTGAAGTTATAATCTGATAACAGTCTCTTAAGTGTAAGCCCTATGTGACATTCTCAGGACTGTCCAGCTCACAAGCAACATCCCACAAAAATCTTCCAAACCAGGATATCATCTTGGCAGCTGTAGCTTCCCCTTCAGCCTGGACAATCTTCTGCTTCTGCTCCTGCTTGGCCTTCTCCACCAGAAACTGGGCACGCTGTGCCTCCTGCTGAGCTGCAGAAAGAACGGCCAAAAGCTTTGGAGGCAGACCCCATCTTCTGAGCCTGCCACCAGAACCCTAGAGCTGAGGGCTGGGGGCTCTGCTTCTGAAAGAACCGACAGCATTCTGGAGCCGCATCCACAAGTACCAAACATATCTGAGTGTACTTGGCATCCAGACCCTCTACTCAATCCTTGTAGGAAGGGACAGTTTGAAGAGGAGCCCTACTCTTGGGAACTCAGACCCTCAGATGGTCTATCCCATTAGCTATGACCCAAAGTTTTCTGGTAATACTTGTAAAATAACCTGTTTAGCTCCATTACTAAGGAGGCTAAGGTTTCTAACTGTGTAGCTGTATCAATGCGAAAGCAGTATCACACTAACCCAAATTCTTCATCCTTGTTCAGTAATTCGGTGAAAAGGAAAAGGCAATCCACCCTTTTCAGGCATAAACTAAACTCACCCACTTGCTTAGCCTCCACAGCCGCAGTGTATTCACGACTGAAACTAAGCTCTGTGATAGCCACATCATCCAGGATGAGGCTGAAATCCTTGGCTCTCTCTGTCAGTTCTCGCCTAATGAGCAGAGACACCTGAAACACAAATATAGCAAAAAAAGTAGCAAACACAGGCTGTTTCTCACTTCCCGCGCACTCCAAAAGTGAAGCACAACTGCTCTTCTCAGTTCATTCACATCGAGCCCGAGAGATTACCTAACACAAACCCTGAACATTAACACCATATCTGAATCTGTTGCCTCTACGTAATATTGCATATCTATAGCTGTGTACTGCATTTTCAGAAAAATATATATAATATGGTTAGTACTTAACCACACCATATCATTAATATTGCAAAAATAAAAAACTCGAAAGTTTTTTTTTGTTTTCACATCCTACCACGTTCAATTCCACAGTTCCCACGTTGTACTAATAAGCATTTCCTTCTCCACCTTGAATTTGCCACTGTTTGCAGTTTGTCTCCTCATATTTGCATTCAAATACAGAAAAAAATTTACCAAGTCTTTTTTTTTACTGTGTATCACATCTCTTAATTACTGCAGATACTCCTCTCCTGTGGCTGCTATACTTTCAGTAGTCTCTCTGGGTAAGTGTTGTTGGGAGGTATTTTGATTTATTCTACCTTTAACTTGCCAGGACCTTTTCCAGGCAGGCTTACAAGTACTGCACCAGATACTGACTTAAACAGAAATTACTGTTACAGTATCAAACACTTGATCAGTCTAGCACTTGCTTTTACTTTTATTGCAGCTGTTTTGAGTAGAAGTCTACAATGATGCCAGAAACATTTACTGTGTGAATTGTGAGTGCCTTACATAAAGTTACTTCATTTTCTTCTTATTATCAACTGCTTCAAGATACATCACTTTAGAGTAATGAACACTAGATGAATATATGACAAGAAGGCAAATTCAACTCTTGTTTGTTCAGAAATTTCAGAGATACTTAACAAGTAATTTTTTTTTTTTCCAATAAATCTAAATCCCTTGCAGACATTGTTTCTTTGCTGTCACATCCTCCCTTTCACTCCTTCTCTTTATACAATGCCATTAACAAGTCCCTTCAGTGCACCATGAGGCCTAGCACAAAACCCTGACAATCCCTGCTATGGATCAGTTCTCAAAACAAGACCTGGACACTTAGTTCAACTCTGCTTTTTTTTTTTTTTTGTCATGGATCAGAAACTAGTTATAAGGTGCTTTGTATTTTATCTGGCAACTTATCCTCTAGCAATCTCATGCAGGACCTCCTCTAAAGCCTTTTAGAAGACGACCAGCAACTTCTCTCCCTCGGCTGCAACATATGAATATTCTCAGCATCCATGGTAATCAAATTATCAGAACACAAACTTTCAGATATAGGCTTTTTAAAACTAAATATTTTTATTATTTTGCAATCCCCCCCCCATCTTTTTCTAAACATAAATATTTACTACCCTTCTGTAGCATTCGCTACTGGAAGTTTACTGCTTTGTTGACTGCTCACCCACTTCACTTTTCAGATCCTTTAAAATTGTTTAGTTTGCTCTGACAGCTCTTCTGATACCCATAAAGGGCCAGATAATAATTATTTTTAAAACCAGTTCTGCTGTTACCTATGGGATATGATATAAATCAGCTCTCCCTCCCCCATCGTTACATTACAGCCTAGTTTTACATGCTATATACCAACGAATCCAGTTTTCTTCTCAGAAGTTAGTGATGTAGCCTTAATGTTTGTATCTTTATTGGATTAAAAGATAAGTGGGATGCCCTTTCCATCTGGATGCACCATCTACCAGTTCAATAAATTTATCTTGATCTGTTGTAACATTCCCCATACCCACAGTTTAGTCATTTCTTTGTAAACTGGGTATAAATATCCAGAACAATTTACCTGTGCTCTCTGAGTGATGAGCTGTGAAGCATTAAACTTGGCAACCACGCTCTTGAGCACTTCGTTAACGATGGAAGGCAGGACTCGCTCCTCATAGTCCAGGCCCAAGCGCTGGTACATGCTGGGCAGCTCTGCAGCATTGGGCCGAGTGAGAACACGCAGCGAAATGTTCACCATCTGCAAGTCTGAAGAGAAGAGAGATAAGCAGGGCCAGCACTGCAGCTGGACGACTCCTAATAAGCACACTTCACGGTGGCTAGTAGCCATGGTTAGTAACTGTGCTAATCAGCCACAGGTACCGCACAAATGGGGGGAATCACCAGGTTTTGAAGCTTGGTCAAACAAGACCTTGAAGCATGGTCAAAATTACCTTGATTAGTGATAAGAAATTCAAAAAGGATAGATTCTGATCTCCAAACCCTAGAAAATAAGCAGAACATCCTGGACCATAAAAGAGAATGTCTGGGACCATGTTGAGGATGAGTTATTTGACAACCTGGCAGAATGACTCTTCAATTAATGAACTTGGCAATGAAACCAACTTCTGAGTGTGCTGAAAGTGAACTCCCTTCATTATCGTACTGAGAAACACACCCACAGCTTGAAAAGACCCCTGCCCAGGTTAAGACCCTTCCCCTGAGCATTGCACAGTAGTAGAAGCATTATGTGAACTATATTGTAATTGTATGTTAATCACTAACCAACCAGTATCTCATAGGTGTGTTTAAAAAAGCACTAACCCCTGATTTTTGTGTATAAAAGGAGTATGGAAACCTGCTGCTGGGGTGCTTGATTTATAGAAAGGTCCACCGAGTGCCCAGGCCTGAATAAATACAATATCTCTCCTAAACGTGTTGGCTTATTACACGCCGGGGACGAACCTACTTTTCGGGTAACAATGCTTGCTCGCTCCCTCCCTCCGTCCCTCCTCCCTCCCGGCGCCGCCTGGGCCTCCTACTCCGGCCTGCGGGGCCACTCTCACCTTTAGACCCGGTGGGGGAAGAGATTTTCCGCGGCCGGGCTCGGATGTCGTAGATAATAGGGTACTGGAACCAGGGGATCCTGCGGGGGGGCGGGAGGCGGCGCGTTACGGCGCGGGCACCCGCAGCGGACGGGGCCCGGGTCCGCGGGGCCGGCCTCGGGGCGGGGGGAGCTGGGCCCTACCTGAAGTGCAGCCCCTCAGCGAGGATGGTGTCCTGCTGGACGCCGCCGATGCGGTTGAAGAAGATAGCGCGCTGGCCGCCTTCCACTGCGGGGAGAAGAGGCA